TTTACTCAGCTTGATTTCAATAGCATTATACAATAAATCTACAGTTTCAATAATAAAAGAACTAAAATATATATTTTCATGTCGCTAGCCTGTGAAGTACAATTTTAAGTGATTTGAATAAAAATGTAGTATAGTCATCTAAGTAAAATGAGTTCAAATAGTCAAATGAAAAGGTAGCAGAGTCCTTTACATTTATAGGATGTCTTCTCAACATATTCGAGAGGGTTTTCTAAAAGAGCTGTATTCCACAACATGAGCTGTGGAGAAAAGTCAGCTCACAAACAATATGTATAAGAGTTGGTATAATTTTCAATGTATAAACTATCAGCATGTGTGTGGTTTTCAGTGTATGTATATCAAAATGTGGGTGCATAGTTTGTGTGTATGGGACTGATGTTAAACATATGTAAATGGTGTACATCTGGCACATGGGTTCTGTATGCGGTTGTGTGCTTTATAAGTATTGTTAATACATCATGCCATGTGCAGCACAAGCATGTATATATGTGGCTTAACCCTGGCCAGTAATATAGGCCTATCTGTTTATGGTAAAATTACATGCCAAGTATTTCATAATATGAACTCTAGCATGCCATCCCATTCTACAATTGCTAATTATCTTCAGTTTAATAGCATGATTTAATTAATTTGCCTAATTATCTCATCTCACTTCTATTACATCTCTACAGATAGCTATGTCCATGCAGCTACCAGAATTTTAACCAATATTGACTTTAACTTTATTTGAACAATATATAAATTTATATATTAGTGTTTCATTCAGGGAGTACAGTGAATAAGCACAATTACTAGCAGATCGATATAGATTCTGTCATGCTATGTATTCTTTTAAACCTTTGTCACCATTGTTTACAGAACACCACAGTTTCAGAATTACATGAAACAAACACTTTTTTGTTGAACTGCCACAACACCATTAAACCTGTATTGTGAAAGAGGTGCTTCTGTGGTTTCCGTCCATGTCATTCAACAGCCAGATGTTGATTCGAAATTGCTCAACACAAGACATCTGTTAATTTTACCAGTTTCATATATACAATTTTGGGAAAGAAAAAGTGAATCATGCTTCCTTGTAACATTTTAGAATGCAACTTCGTTCATTGTCACTCGATTATAATTATGTCCTCTTCAACATTAATTTTGAACATTAGAGTATATGATCCTTAAAAATATATGACTAAGTGGTTAAAACTATAGACAATAGAAATTGTTATATACAGAATTGCTGCTTGAAAAGTTTGAAGAAGTATATTATAACACTTAATCATTGTATCAGAGTTTTTAATGTATTACAGAAAAATATACTTAGCAAAAATGAAATATATCATATACCGTATTTATCTGCGTATAACACGCACCGGCGTATAACACGCACCTCATTTTAAGAAGGAAATTTCAGGAAAAAAAACCTTAAATTTCAAATAAAGAACTTCTTACCCCCTTCTTACTCCCCCCTCCCCCTCTTCTTACCCCCCTTTCTTACTTCCCCCTCCCCCTCTTACCCCTTCTTACTCCTCCCCCTCTTCTTACCCCCCCCCTTTCTTACTCCCCTTCCCTCTTACTTCCCTCCCTCCCCCCCTCTTCTTACTCCCTCCCCCCTCTTCCCTTTCTTACCCCCCTCCCCTACCCCTCCCTTCTCTTCTTACCCCCTTTCTTACTCCCCTCCCCTCTTCTACCCCCTCCCCCCTACTTACCCCCACTCTCTTTTTACCCCCTCCCCTGTAGCGTGGCCGAGCTGCTCTGCTGTCCGCGGTGGCCGGCCGGAGTGATAGGAAGGTGCACGCTCAGTGTGCACCTTCCTGTCAGTCCGACCGGGTACAGGAAACACCTTCCTATCACTCCGGCCGCCCACCGCGGACAGCAGAGCAGCTCGGCCACGTGGGAGGGGAGGTGAGAACCAACTGCAGCCGCCTGACCACTCTTGACAGAGCGCTCAGGCGGCTGCTGCATTTAAAGGGCCGGCGTATAACACGCACCCATAATTTGCCCCCTATTTTCAGGGAGAAAAAGTGCGTGTTATACGCCGATAAATATGGTAAGTGCAAGCTTGTAATAAATATCCTAAATATGGATAATCATACAACTGATGGTAATGTTTATTTGCAAACCTTCTTGTCCTTGAAATCTGACATTTTAAGACTTTTTTTTTTGCTGTTCTGAAACGGTATGCATTTTTTTTTTTCAAATGCATTCTTACCTTTTCTCTTTCTTTTCTTCCCACTGTAATATTTATTAAAGTTTTTAGAGTATATATAGTTTTATAGTAAGAAATCATTTAAAAATTATTTCAAAGTGCTGTGTGGCTCAATAAAATCTACACGAACAAAAGCAAAAATATCAAGAAAACAAAAAAAGTTCTGAGTTTCACTGAAATATAAGTAGGACTAGAATATAAATATATACACCAGAAACAATCCCAAGTCTAAGGGGTAGGAGTTGGAAAATGTATCCCATTGGTAGTGCAAGCATACTCCGTTCTCCTTGGTGGAAAGAAGCTGTGTCATCTAATCTTGTTGTATTTCTATAGAGAAAAAGTCCAGGTACTCCAATAGTTTTAGGCACATTTATTAGAACAAAAGGAACGCTGCACTGTTTTGATACTGAATTGGGTCTTTGACAAGACTTGACAAAGACCCATTTCTGGGTCGAAACATTGCAGTGTTCTGAAGTTATTAAAGTGCCTGGACCTTTTCTCTATTATCTACATTTTTTTTTTTTTGGGATTGTGCTGGCCCATGGTCTGTTTTACCACCCTTAGCTTTTGTGGACTGAGTGTGGTTCCTACTTGGTATATTGGGATTGCTGTATTTCTATGTTCTATAACATCTAAAGTTGGACCAGAACCATACACATGGAGGACTACTAGGTATATTTGTTGGGTGGTCTGTTGTTCAGTTAGAACTTCTGTTTTTTTTCCCCTCTTGCTGGTTCCTCTTACTAACTAACTGGCCAGAAATATATTCCTTATCAACAAAATATGTGTAGAAGAGCTACTTCTGGTTCCACAGTATATTATGTTTCACAATTCAATAAAACCATGGCAACATTTCATTCTTTGTGTGTTATTAGTTTAAGCAGACTGTGATTATTATTATTATGATATTTATAGAGCGCCGTCAAATTCTGCAGCGCTTTACAATGGGTGGACGAACAGACATGTAGTTGTAACTAGACAAGTTGGACACACAGGAACAGAGGGGTTGAGGGCCCTGCTCAATGAGCTTACATGCTAGAGGGAGTGGGGTTAAATGACACAAAAAGGTAAGGATAATATTAGACTAATGACAGTTGCAGAAGAGGAATCAGTCAGGAGCTATGAACAGTTTAATGGATACGCTTTTATGAAGAAGTGGGTTTTTAACGATTTTTTGAAGGAATGGAGACTGAGTGAGCATCTAACGGAGGAGAGAAGCAAGTTCCACAGGAACGGTGTAGCCCTCGAGAAATCTTGAAGGCGAGCATCAGAGGTGGGAGTACAGACAGAAGATAGACGTAAGTCTTCAGCAGATCATAAGGGCCTAGACGGGACATACTTGTGTATAAGGGAGGATAGATAGGTGTAGAGATTTGAAAGCAAGAACCAGAATTTTAAATTGAGCTCTATATTTTTTAGGAAGCCAATGTAGGGATTGACAGAAGGGTGAGGCATGGGAGGTGCGTGCGGACAGGAAGATGAGCCTCGCCGCTGCATTCATTATGGACTGTAACGGCGCTAGTTGGGAGCACGTAAGAACACTGAGAAGCGGATTACAGTAGTCAAGGCGAGAAAGGACAGTGGAATGGACCAACACCTTAGTCGCATCTGGCGTTAAGTAGGGGCGGATGCGCGCAATGTTTTTGAGATGGAAATGACAGGATTTGGCAAAAGATTGAACATGAGGCTTGAAGGAGAGGTCGGAGTCAAAGAGAACACCTAGGCAGTGAGCCTGCGTGGTGGAGCTGATGGTAGCACCGTTGACTAGAAGGGAGACAGACACAGAAGTAACAACACTTGAGGGAGGAAAGACCAGAATTTCAGTTTTGGTCAAGTTTAGTTTAAGGAAGTGGGCAGCCATCCAGTTAGAAACAGCAGAGAGGCAGTCAGAGACACTAGTCAAGAGGGACGGGGAGAGATCAGGAGAGGACAGGTAGATTTGCATGTCATCTGCATAGAAATTATATTGGAAGCCAAAGGAGCTAATGAGTTTACCAAGGGAGGCAGTATAGATGGAGAACAATAGGGGACCAAGGACTAAACCTTGGGGGACACCAACAGAGAGGAGTTGGGGAGAAGAAGCAGAGCCAGAGAAAGAAACACTGAAAGAGCGCTGGGAGAGGTAGGAGGAGCACCAGGAGAGAGCAGTATCTTGTAGACCGATATTGCAGAGGATGAGAAGAAGCTGTTGATGATCAACAGTGTCAAAAGCCGCAGACAGGTCAAGGAGAATTAGGATAGAGTAGTGACCACGAGATTTTGCAGCGAGTAGATCATTGGATACTTTGGTCAGTGCCGTTTCCACAGAGTGCTTAGCGTGGAAACCAGACTGAAGCGGGTCTAGCAGAGAGTTGGACTCGAGGAAGTCTGTCAATCTCGCATACACAATTTTTTCAAGGATCTTGGATGCAAAAGGCAGTAGCGAGATAGGACGATAGTTGGATGGGGAGTTAGGGTCAAGATTGGGCTTCTTTAGAATTGGGGTTACAGTTGCATGTTTGAAGGGCAATGGAAATATACCAGAGGAGAGAGAGAGATTGAGAATTTTAGTGAGAGGTGGAGAAACAGAAGAAGACAGAGTACGGATGAGATGCGATGGAATTGGATCTAGGGAGCAGGTGGTGGGGCGGGAGGACTGGAGCAGGTGCGAATGACCATAGAACAGCAGAGGGAGTGAAGTGAGTTGCAAAGGCTGAGACGGTCAAGTTAGTATGTGGAGGAGGAACAGCTGGGCGACGAAGAGAGTTAAATGTGTGAAATAGTCGTTTGGGTTCGCGGGAGAGAGTGGTTATGAGAGTATTGAAGTAATTAACTTTTGCAGAGGAAAGAGCCAAGCTGTATGAGCTCAGCATAAATTTATAGTGGAGAAAGTCAGATGCACAGTGAGACTTTCTCCAACAGCGTTCAGCAGTTCTGGAGCATTTTTGGAGGTATCGAGTGAGCTTGGTGTGCCAGGGTTGTTGTTGGGAGGGCCTGCGACGTTTAAATGTACAAGGTGCCATGATGTCTAGTTGAGAGGAGAGGGTGGAATTGTAAAAGGAGGTTGCAGAACTAGGACAGGTGAGGTTTGAGATAGGTAAAAGGAGAGTTTGGAGATTAGTGGAGAAATGCTCTAGGTCAAGACATTGGAGGTTTCTGTGAGAGTGATGTTCAGATGGTGGTGTCAATTGGGTCTTAGGTATGCCAATGTCAAAAGTCAGCAGATGGTGGTCAGATAGTGGAAAGGGAATACTGGAGAGATTAGAGGCAGTACAGAGGTTGATGAAGGCAAGATCAAGAGTGTTTCCTGCTGTATGGGTTGCTAGAATGGACCATTGCGCAAGGCCAAAGGAGGAGGTTGCAGAGAGCAGACAAGAGGTATCAGTGCAATTGGGGTTATTGATTGGGATATTGAAATCCCCAAGTATAAGGGAAGGCGTGCTAGATGAGAGGAAGTGGGGAAGCCAGGAAGAAAAGTGCTCAATGAAAAGTCTAGGATAACCAGGGGGGCGGTAGATGATTGCAATTCTTAAAGGAGTGGGTTTAAATAGGCGGACAGTGTGAACTTCAAAAGAAGAAAAGGATAGGGCAGGGGGAGTTATGATTGGTTGAAAGGTACGTTGAGGGGAGAGAAGGATGCCTACGCCGCCTCCTTTACAGTTGAGTCAGGGAGTGTGCAAGAATTATAGCCCACCAAAACATAAAGAGGCAGGAGTAGCGCTATCAGAGGGGGACAGACAGGTCTCTGTAAGTGCAAGCAGTGTGAGTGAGTTTGAGATGAAAAAGTCGTGTATGGTTGTTGATTTTAAATTACTGCAGATGGAGCGGGCATTCCAGAGTGCACAGAGTGATTGTCTATTGTTGACTTAGATGATGATCAGATCACATTTTCTGATCAATTTGTGCAGAAATCCATATCATTCCAAAGGGTTCACATACTTTTTCTTGCAACTGTACATTTTGGTATTCTTAATAAACCCCATAACTGACCTCTAGAATCTGCAAACCACCCTCACTAAGACTGGTGAGATGTCATATCCTTGTCACGGGAGTCGTACCCAAACATGCAGGAAAGAGGAATCTTACAAAAGGTGGATCCGAAATATGTGTTACCAAGTCTTAAAATGGCTGGACTTAACGTATTAATATAGCGAGAAAAAAGTTCAAGAATAAATCAAGGTCAGGAATACAGAAAATCACAAGTCAAATACAAAACCCGGTTAGGATACAAGAAAATCACGAGGCAAATATGAAGCCAGGATCAAACACAGGAAATCTTAAGGGAATCTCTAGAAGCAATAAATGAGGTTCTAACAAGAAACCACAATAGGGCAGTGAATGGGGACTAAAACATGCCTTAAATGCTTATCTATGTTCTGATTGGTCCAGTAAGCCAAAGGTTTCAACAGGGAGGTATGGAAGTCATTAGGTATACACATGGAACAAGGCAATGCTAGAGCATGCGATACAGGGTTCACTTTGCGCAGGATGCAGAAAGGACCAATGAAACGAGGAGCAAACTTCATGTAGGGCATACAATGACGGATATTTTGTGTAGAAAGCCAAACCCTATCCCCCACCACATATGAAGGAGCTGCATGACGATGCTTGTCCGCCAGTACTTCCTGTCTCTGAGCAGCTTTAGCCAATAGCTGTTGAACTTGCTCTTAAGTACTACGTAAACCAGCCATGTGCTCATCCAGGGCTGGCATTCCCTGTGAGGATCATGCAGTCGGGAGAACAAAATGATGCCGGCCAAAGACTAAGTAAAAAGGGCTGAACCCAGAAGATTCATGAGCTGCATTATTACGAGCAACCTCAGCCCAAGGAATCAAGTCAACCTAATTATCTTGATGAAGTGAAATGAAACAGCATAGATACTGCTCAAGAGACTGGTTGGCAAGTTCAGCAGCTCTATTAGTCTGAAGGTGGTAAGCAAAGAAAAAGAACAATTCAATACCCATCTCTGAGCAAAAGGCCCTCCGGAAGCAAGAAACAAGTTGACTATCTCTGTCAGATACAATCTGTTCAGGTATGCCACGTTGACAGATAAATCCTCGCTAATTCAGAGGGGAGTTTACTAAGGGGTATGAAATGTGCCATCTTAGAAAACCTATCTACAACCATAAGTATAACAGTGTGTCCACTGGAAGGGGGGAGTTCTATGGTAAAATTGATAGACCAGCTGGACCATGGTTTAGTGGCTATGGGTAAAGGTTGAAGCAATCCACATGGTATCTTGTGAATGGTCTTGTTAGCTGCACATTTGTCACAAGCAAGCACATATTCTTTAATATCTCTCTTTAGCGAAGGCTACATATAGTCACAAATTACATGGTTAGTGGTTTTGGTTTTTCCAGGATGCCCAACGGGTTTGCTGTCATGACATAAAGTCATTGTAAGGACATGAAGGGGTGCTGCCCTGCGACAGCACTGTCCCTTTAAATGTGGGAGCCAACTTGGCAGAGAAATAATGCAAGGACACGATGAATGGAGCAATCAAGAAAATATGTATTAAAGAAAACCAAAGGATATATTATACAAAAACAAAATATGTACAATGCCATAAATATATATATATATGTATATATACACACACACACACACACACACACACACACGAAATCAATATAAATACAAATAGAGCAAACAGAGTACACGTGATAGTCCTTAGGCAAAAGTAAAGGCCTTAGGCGGGATCGTGCAGCCAGGGGCGTATTACCCGCAAGGCTAACAAGGCATTTGCCTTGGGCGGCATTTTTCAGGGGGCGGCAAAAAACGCTGCCCCCCAAATGCCCAGGGCAAATGCCTAGTTAGCCTTGCGGCTAACTGACATCCCGAGCGGGCGGCGCTGGCAGGCGGGCGGCTGGCGAGGGAGCACTTCCCCTGAGCTGACTGCTCAGCTCCCTCGCGCACCGCAGAGTGAAGCTGGGAGCCGGAATATGACGTCATATGGCGCGCGAGGGAGCTGAGCAGTCAGCTCAGGGGAAGTGCTCCCTCGCCAGCCGCCCGCCTGCCAGCGCCGCCCGCCCGCCCTGCAGCCACTGGACCACCAGGGAGAGAGACCCCCCCCAGCACTCCCAAAGGTAAGGAGGTTGGGGTGGGGGATTTAAATTTTTAAAAAAGTTAATGTGTGTGTGTGCCTGACTCTGTGTGTGTGTTTGTGTCTGACTGTTTGTGTCTGTGTCTGACTGTTTGTGTCTGACTGTGTTTGTGTGTGTGTGTCTGACTGTGTGTGTGTCTGACTGTGTGTGTATGTGTGTTTGTGTGTGTGTGTCTGACTGTGTGTGTGTGTGTTTGTGTCTGACTGTGTGTGTCTCTGACTGTGTGTGTGTGTATGTGTCTGACTGTGTGTGTGTGTTTGTGTCTGTGTGTGTGTGTGTGTTTGTGTCTGACTGTGTGTGTGTGTATTTAGAAGGTGGGGCGGGGGGAAGGGTTGGGTGGGGGTGGCGCGGGGGGAGGGGGGCGCCTGAGTTTTGTCCTGCCTAGGGCAGCACAAAACCAGGATACACCACTGCGTGCAGCCACCACAGAATATAAATGGGTCACGGATCCTAAGCCACCAAGCACTAAATAAAAAACACTAAGGAGCAAAGCCCAAAGCAGGTCACACGTAAATAAGGCAGGAAGGTCAGAATCACTGGAAATGAAGTATAGGCAGGAACACTGCAAGCGAACACTGGAACGGGAGGCACAGGACACAGGACCAGGCAGAGACAAGAACACAGGACCATAAGGACATCGGAACAGGAACACAGGATCAGGATACACGACCTTAGACTGAGGTTCTCATATAGTTTTTTATTAATATTCAACTTCTTCTTTATATTAGTCCATTCTTTTAATGTCTGTGATAGAGACAAAGGAAAATGAGAACTAATCTCGCACAAATGCATATTCTGACTTGCCTCTCTCCATAGGAGGAATTCAAGATTATCTAAACCAAGTCTGGCTGCCTCAATTTTATACCAAGCTTGGTCTATAGAATCACTTCGTTGTAAATTGCTGGCATCAACAAGCATATTAGCCTGATAGATTTATTTAACTAGGGGGTAACCCAACCCCCCCTGGTGGGCCTTCCTTGATAGAGTATATGTACTAATTCTTGGTCTCTTCCCTCTCCAAACATAAGCTGTAATGCTATTTTGCAGCATATTCAACCAATAGCTTAGAATCGAGAGAGGGAGCATACTGAATAGGTATGCCCATTTAGGAATCATATAGGCTTTGATAGTATTTATCCTTCCACACCAGGAGATTTCATGCACTCTCCATTCTTTTAAAAACATATTAGTCTCTTTTAACAATTTCAAAAAATTTATTTCCATAATCGGTCTTACATCTGCAGTTATAATCACCCCTAAATATTTAAACTCGTTTTTTGTCCATTTAAAGTCAAAATCTTTCTTTAGGGAAATTAAATTATCTTTATGTATATTAATCGACATAGCTATTGTTTTATTTGTGTTCAGATTATAATTTGAAACACTACTATAGTTGTTAAATTCTTGCATTAAATGAGGAAGAGAGACCAGTGGATCCGTAATAGAAATTAAGATATCGTCATCATATGAACATATTTTCCATTCATCAAGTTGAGTTCCTAATCCTTTAATCCCAACATTTTGTCTAATATTATTTGCTAGTGGTTCAATTGATAAGACATATAATAAAGGCGAGAGAGGACCCCCTGTCTCATCCCATTATTAATATAGAACCAATCTGAGCATAAATCACGGGCTACAATATGGGCAGACGGATTCGAATATATAGCTCCCACTGCATTCAAAAACCACCCTTCGAAACCGAACTGTAACAAGGTTCTCTTCAGATACCCCCATCCGACCCTGTCGAAAGCTTTTTCAGCATCCACCGACAGGGTCAGAAGGGGGTTCCCTCAACCTGAGCCCATTCTATAATGTCCAGAGCCCTACGGGTGTTATTTGAGGAGTGCCTTCCCTGCATAAAACCTATCTGGTCCCTATGTATAAGTGATGGCAAAACTGTTTTCAAACGTTCCG